GTCGGGGAGTCTGCGGGGCCGAGGGCTTATCACCGGTGGGGAGGAGAGGTTGGACCGCGGGTTACTGGACGGGCGCAGAGGCGGAGCGCGAGGCTGCAGTCCCGCTTTGGGGTGTTCGGGGCTGCCCCTCTTCCCTTGTGTCCCGGGTCTGGGCCCAGTGGAATTGGCACCTGTAGGTCCACGCCCTGGTGGGTGCCGGTGCCAGCACAGCCTGGAAGCTGAGGCTGTGTCCGCGGGGCATGTGAGACTCACCTACTGGCCCGGACTTGTGGGTTCTAGCTCCGGGGTGTGGCTGCCCGGGGAGCGTAGTCTCTTTGCTGGGCTCTTTTGCCCTCAGAAACCTGGAGGAAGCCGGACCTGCCAAAGCAGAGGTCTCTGGGCTCAGGTTACACAGTGCCCGCGAGTGGTGGGAAGATCCTGAGATTTTGGCCCCCTGCCCTTGCTCATGAGTCACGGAAAAAGTTCTGAGAAAAGCGACCAGGGAAACTACTAGCTGGGAAAAGGCAGGAGGATAGGACCTGTGCTCCGGGCACAGCTGTGTGCGAGGCCATCGCCAGACTTAGACTGAGCCGGCCTTCTAAATGCCAGTTTGCTGCTTCTTGCTTACTAGTTGGATGGCCTTGGGCAAGTTGCTTAACAGTTCAGACATTTCAGAGCTTTTTTTTTTTTTTTTTTTTTTTTGGTAAAATGGGAATGATAATTACCTATTGCACATACCTGAGTGGGACTGTTGGACTTGCACCTGGAGTTCAGTTTACAGATATCCGGAAACGTCAAGAACTGTTAGACCCGTGTGCCCTAGTGTGTCCTGCTCCCACGGCCAGATTAGCATATCCTTGCCACCTTCTTTTGGTGATCTCCAAACCATTCAAATCATTCCTTATCTCCTGACCCTGGACACTTTTCAAATTCTCCACATTCAAGCCATTTCCAGTCCTGCTTTGTTCCTCAAGCATTTATTGCTCTTTCTCATTTTGTTTAGCAATTGTTTACTCTCAGAGTCCCTCACCACAGGGGAAGTTCTTGGGTACCTTGCTGACTTGGTCTGAAGCATTTCTACCTCCCCAGGGTACTGCTAAGTCATTGAGCCTTAGGATGAAGCAGGAGGGGTGGAAGGTTGAGTAGATAATGGGGTGGAAGGTAGAGTAGATAATAGGGCTTCCCCTGGGCTCTGGAAGGATCCCTGAAAATTTTCCAAGGAGTGCTCCCCAAATGCCTCCACCTGCTGGATAGGATGGGAGTTCCTCATTGTTTTAATCCTTGAGTTTACACCAGTGGTTCTTCAGGTGTGGTCCCTGGAACAGAAGCAGCAGCTGCACCTGGGTCTTTATTAGAAGTGAACATTTTCTAGTCCCGCTCTAGACCTCCGACACCAGGAACTCTGGAGGTGAAGCCTGACAATATGCTTCAACAAATTCTCTAGGTTATTCGGATGAATGCTAAAGTTTTATTTGTAATATCCAGATGGCATAGAGATAGTTTTTAAAGTGTTATTTTTTAAAAAATAAGCTTAATTGCCCTAGCTGGTTTGGCTCAGTAGATAGAGTGTTGGCCTGCAGACTGAAGGGCCTCAGGTTCGATTCTGGTCAAGGGCACATGCCTGGGTGCAGGCTCGATCCCCAGTGGGGGCGAGGGGGGGCATGCAGGAGGCAGCTGATCAAGAATTCTCATCATTGATGTTTCTATCTCTCTCTTATCCTTCCTCTCTGAAAAGCAATATATTTTTTAAAAATTGACCTTGTAAATTTAAAAAAGCTTAATTTTTAGAAGTTTGACATTTACAGAAAATTGGTACAGATACTATGAGAGTTCCCATGTACTCCAATCCAGTTCCCTTGTTATTAACATCTTGTATTAATATATTTTGTTAGAATTATGAACCAATATTGATACATTATTTTTAACCAAAGTCCATGCTTTATACAGGTTTTCTTCATTTTTTGCTTAAAGTTATTTTTCTGTCCCAGGATCCCATCCAGGATGCTACATGACATTTAATTGTTATAGCTCCTCAGGCTCCTCTTATCTGTGACTGTTTCTCAGATTTTCCTTGTTTTTGATAATCTTGACAGTTTTGAGGAGTACTGGTAAAGTATTTCATGGATGCCTCTCTTTTGTGTGTGTTTCTCTCATGATTGGACTGAGGTCATGGGTTTGGGGGAGGAAGACCATGGAAGTAAAGTAACTGCCATTTATCACGTCATGTGAAGGGAACTACTACTAGAGACACACTAGCAAAATGACTTGTTACTGTTGATGTTGACTGTGATCACCTAAGGTAGCTTGTCAGGTTTCTCCACTGTAAAGTTATTTTTCTTTCCTCCATTCCATATTGTATTCTTTGGAAGGAAGTCACTATGCACAGCCCACATGTTAGGAGTGGAGAAGTATCTAAATTATTTGGATTCTGCATCGGAGATTCGTCTCCCTCGTTTGTTTATTTATTTATATATTTAAAAAAAACATTGATTTTTTTTACAGAGAGGAAGGGAGAAGGATAGAGAGTCAGAAACATCGATCAGCTGCCTCCTGCACACCCCCTACTGGGGGTGTGCCCGCAACCAAGGTACATGCCCTTGACTGGAATCAAACCCAGGACCCTTCAGTTCACAGGCCAATGCTCTAGCCACTGAGCCAAACCGATCAGGGCCTCATTTGTTTATTTATCCAACCATTTCTATCGGTATGAACTAATGGATATTTATATTATACTTTAGATTATAATCAGTCATACTTTATTTTGTTCTCAAATTGTTCTAGCTTTGGCCTTTGGAAGCTCTTTTTAAAAATATATATTTTTTGCCGAAACCGGTTTGGCTCAGTGGATAGAGCGTCGGCCTGCGGACTGAAGGGTCCCAGGTTCGATTCCAGTCAAGGGCATGTACCTTGGTTGCGGGCACATCCCCAGTGGGAGATGTGCAGAAGGCAGCTGATCGATGTTTCTGAGGAAGGGAGAGGGAGAGAGAGACAGAAACATCAATGATGAAAGAATCATTGATCGGTTGCCTCCTGCACTCCCCACAATGGGTATCGAGCCTGCAACCTGTGCGTGTGCACTGACAGGGACTTGTACTGTAACCTCCTGCTTCATAGGTCGATGCTCAACCATTGAGCCATGCCAGCCAGGTTGGGAGCTCTTTTACTTGATTCCTGTGTTTCTTTGGCACATTCCTGTCCATAATTTTTTAGGCAAAAATATTTAAAGCATTTTCTTACTTTCTGGCAATTTATGACACTCTAAGCCAGTGGTTCTCAACCTTCTGGCCCTTTAAATACAGTTCCTCATGTTGCGACCCAACCATAAAATTATTTTCGTTGTTACTTCATAACTGTAATGTTGCTACTGTTATGAATCGTAATGTAAATATCTGATTTGCAGGATGGTCGTAGGAGACCCCTATGAAAGAGTCATTCAACTGCCAAAGGGGTCGCGACCCACAGGTTGAGAACCGCTGCTCTAAGCTCATGTTGTATATTTGCTTCCCCAGTCATTTCTCCAAGGAGCCCTAGTTCCTTTTATTGAAACCAAAATCTGGGCACTGGGTGTGCTTGTTGCTATTGGATTGTCATTGCTTTTAGACCCTCTCTGCTGGGAGAGCAAGTAAATATATTTGTGTATACTTACACATGTATGTATACAGATCCTATACAATAAAAGCCTAAGGTGGAGGGGTTGGAATGGCTGGAGGGGGGCAGGGTCAATTGGGGGAAAAGGAGACATATGTAAAACTTTAGACAATAAATAAAAAATAAAATAAAATAAAAGCCTAATTGCCGAAACCGGTTTGGCTCAGTGGATAGAGCGTCGGCCTGCGGACTGAAAGGTCCCAGGTTCGATTCCGGTCAAGGGCATGTACCTGGGTTGCGGGCACATCCCCAGTGGGAGATGTGCAGGAGGCAGCTG